TTAGGGCATTACGCGTGCAGGCGGCAGCCCGGCCGAGGCTAAAGGGTTCCCGTTCCTCGGTATTTGCCGAGATATTATCGTGAAAAAAGGGAAAGGGGGAGAAGCCCTGGGTAACGAGCAGGGCGTGACTGTTTCTTCGAGCCCGGGCCTCCGGTATGCCCTCGACACCGTTTCGCGAATTAGCCCCGTCTCTCATCATCGTCGTCTCATCGAGGATCAGGGTCTCGTGACTCGGTGTTGTCCCGCAATAAACTAGAAGTGCATCCTGCTCTGTGGAATTGCAGGAGTCGATTTACTGGTCGGGATAGTGGCAACGGACCAGCTTGTTGACGTAGCAACTTTCTGAGAATGCCCTCGGTATGTTTTCGGATGCTGCAGTATTTGAAGTATGAACACTTCTGTGATCTTTCGTTTTTCTCCTTACATGATTTTGTTTCGTCGATGCGATGTCAATAAATTGGATATGTCCATTTTTCAACTTTAACTGGGCAGTAGTAATCAATATTTAATTGACATTGATTAATGTATAGACGTTTAGTGATAAAACATTAACGGAAATAGCCAGAGGGGTTTAGAAAGAAGACTGAAAGTTTAGACGGCATGCTTGCACAAAGTATACATGCATAATATGTAGATAGTGATGGAGAAAGTAGAGTGTCATTGGTGAGAAAGTAACTTCGGGCAAAAAAAAAGGACTGTTCATAAATAAAACTACTAAAATTTCACTGTTTTCTCAAACAATTACATATTTAATATTATTGAAATAAGAATTCTTATACCCGAGCTGTAGAGAAATTGCATGTTTTTATCTGCGGTTCAAATCGCATAGTAGGATTATGATATTTGCATACGTTCCTTTTTCGCTGCGAGGCGATCGATATTCGTGATGTAAACGAAACCTTCTATTTGAGTCAATCATCTCCGATTTTAATTTGCGGCTCCGAGAAAAGGAGGAGGCGCAATGCGAAATCCCTTGCGATCCGGACACGTTCATTTACACCGCCATCGGATATGCATATTTCTTCGATGTGATTGGCAATAATTAATAAAGTTGCTTGTGCTCGGTCGTTTTATTACGGTTACGTTATTTTATATTTATGCCTGCGTTAAAGGCGTGCCTCTAATTACCAGAGTATTTGAATTACTTGTTTTTCCTACAAACAAACGCTGAAGGCACGTGTGTATACTGTGTGATCGTTGATATGTTATTAGAGTTTTTCATTCTGAAATTGAATGCACTTTACGTCTTATGATAAAGTTGAAGATCACTAAAAATTAAGTACTACAAGAAATAGATGAAACTGATATAAAAGTATCAGCGATTTATTTATAAATTGAACTTGTTTGTTGTATCTAACATTTATAAATACAATTCACTTATCTATAGTCTACAGTTTATCGATAGACAATTTGCTCTATAAACGTAATCAGACACTTCATAGAAATTATATTTAAAAAACTGCCCGAAGGAGTAAAGATACGATATCTTAATATGGAAGACCTCTTCGTTATTTCCATAGATCAATCTTCGTATAGCAGGAGTGTATACCTTTGTCCATTAAAAGAAAATCGACGAGAATTACTTTCAAATAACCGCGGGTGTAATTATACCTCTCGGAGAATATAAACGGACCTACCGTCTGATATATTTAGCAGCGGCGGCACGTACGAGATATAAGTTTGATATCGCGTTTGTGTGTAGAATCATCGGATTATTAAAGGCTTGCAACGATCGGAGCGCGAAGCGTGCCGATGATTTCGTGGCTCGAATTCATAATCGATTTTTGACGGAACATAGCATGCACGAGCCCCTCGGTACAGTAAACGTCGTTTAAACGACAAACGTTTATATGTATAAGATATCCAGTAACTTATAATAGCGTGTAGACATGAAAAGTCATATAACAAAATTAAAAGTTGAGTCTTTTATTTTTTTTATCATAAATCTGTTATAGAATTTTGGATTTAATCAAATTTCTTTCTTCATTTAAATATTTAACTTCAATATCGACGATTTTATCTGTATCATTAAATATTATGCTTTGGTAAAGAAGCGTTGGATGATCTTTTCTACATTAGATTATTTTCGAACGTGTATACGTGGCAGATTATTATTCGCGTCTTTCAGCGACGTCGCTCACGCATAATTTGGTTTTCAAACAGTTTCCTTTGTCATACAACACACATATGTATACACGGGAGGATTTTTGTCGTCTCATCTTTTCGACAAGTTTGCACCAAAAAATCATCGACACGATAAATCAGCGAAAATCGTAATACAAAACTGATATCTCATGCTTAGTAGAGTATAGAAACTTTAGATATTAATTATATGCCACAATTTGCAATTCAATTATGAATGAACAAAGAAAGCGAATCAACCTTTTCTCATGGTATGTATTTACGTAATAATAGTTAGACATGTATATAGAACAAGTCCACATACGAATGTTAAATTACTTGTAAATAATCGAATCATAAATTTCGTGTAAACGTTATCATTTATATTGGTAATAGTCTGTTAAGACAAATCTTGTCGGCATAGACACAGACGGTTACGCAAGAAGAATGATCTAGTTACTAGCAGACGGTTGTTAAACTTGACAAAAATCATAATCTAGTGCAATAAATCCAGCCGGATCGGTTCTTAAGAGCTTTATCTCCAAAGACTGAGCGGACGAAAGGAACTACTTTAATCGAAGTCTAATCCCCGATGTAAGTTAAGCACTTTACGTACCTACCAGCCCGAAGTGTCTCATTTCTCGCTTTTATATCGGTGTTAAATCGTTCGCATGATAACACGGTTTCCTCTCACACGATTTCCGAAGGCCGATGCGTTTCTCTTCGCGAAACGAAGCCGCGAGACAATGAAATTTACAGTTGGCGTAAATTCTAGGGTGGATGTGCGTCCGTTCGGAAACAAGAGCACGAATAATTGAAGCGGATACAATCGAGAGAACAGAGGTGCCGAAACGAGTCTTAAACGGGTTCGAAAGATGAGATAAGAACCCTGTAACGTTCGCCAAGATGAATTGCGTCGTGCATAAATGGTAATGCCTCGGAGGTTGGTCATATTTTATGGCTCATATTGCTACTCTTTACTGTACATTCCCTATCTGTACTGTCTCTTCCTTCTTAAGACTAGCTACCTTTAAACATCTATGACTCGTCAGATATCCATAAAGTTCGTTTAAAACCGCTCTTTTCATACACTTTTAAGAATATCCACCTTTTACCTTGTATTATCAATTCAAAATACTATAATAGCTGCAGGAGTAATTATAAAATGTAATTGTCATAAAGTTTCTCATTTATTTTCAAATTTATCTAAAATCTGAATCCTATTTTCTCCAAAACAAAAGTAGATTTTATAAAACTTTATTTCGTAGTTTAAATAATGTACTGGCCCTGTCCAATTTAAATCGGTCGTACAGTAGAGTTTAATGGATTTGGCGAAACGAAAATAATGTTCGCAGGAACCGAGACAGGGTATATCGTCGCAATTAAAAAGAGTCTTACAATTCGCGGAATTCTGCATTAAAAAATTGGTTTGCAGTTATTTTTAGAGAGAGCGGAGCGGCGCTCTGTGTAGAGCGACCAGTATCTCCGTGGCTGGTACATCGAACTCCGCGATCGGTTCCAAGATTGAGATAAGCGGCTTGCGAAGAAATAAGTAGTTTAAGCCTGTTCGCGTGGCCGGAGATTGGTCTGACGTCGTTATGGACCGAGAAGTGGGGATGTTTTATGCATGTGCCTCGCGTTATGCATCATTCCAGGTGCATCACCAACAGAACCCGTTGAACTTTGCTTCTGTGCAAAGGACAAGTTACGGTCGATCGGCGAACACTATTTCTCGCTAATAAAATAACCATGGACGGCAAACGCGGTCGTAAATTCGCGCTCGCTCGACGAACACGTTCAACTTTGAGTTTCACAAACTCAACTGGTAATAAATTAAGTCGTTTAAAAGTGATTACTTTTCGCAGGTACAAATTTCTGAAGTTGAGTCAGTGCCAGTGTCGTGCAAATTTAACAAACTATCGCGGTTGTGATAAATTTTAGACGTCAAACGTTATAAAAAAGATTACACGCTAAGAAGTTTCAACGTTTCAGTACGCAGATGAAACGATATGCGTACATGAAGAACTTTTCTAAAATATAGGAATCGGTTGCGTGCCGCCTCGATCTTCAGCAACGGGGATGTTGGATAGAAGAGTGTTGGTGGGGAAACGTCGGAGGGAGAGTGGGGGCGTGCGTTACGCAGGATTTAGGGTTCTACGTGGTGGTGAGGAGCCACGGACGGTACGGTGCTCGCACCGTGGTGGAGAAGCAGCAGACAGCAGCACCAGCACACACGGTCCCGCCGTTCCGGAGCAGCCTCGCTTCTGCTCTCGGTCAAAGGAGCAGTCCGTGGCGATCATCAGCTCTCACGGTATTTTCCGTATGGCCATGCCCAACCTTCGCGACGCCACGCCGAAACTTCTCATTAAGTCCGCGCGAAATTCCATCGGGAACAGACGCAAAAACAATTCAAGATCAACGCTCGAGTCCCATCAAAGCCGGATCAGCACCGAAGAACGAGATTTCGATCTTTCGATCACTGATGGACGATCAAGGAACCTTTATGCCGGAAAGTTGAACACAGAAAAACAAGCATTGTTGCTGTTATTCGTTGACATTCATTCGAAGATTTGTTCGAAGCTTATCATCGTTGCCAAGAGTTTTTTGAACACCATAGTTGTTTCATCCGAAAAGTGCAGAAGCGACAACGTTGGTGAAGTAGCAGGCGCGTCGACGAATTTGAAATTCTTATCTGAAAATATTCCCGATAGGAGATTCGTTGTTTCGTCGAGAAGAAATCTAAAGATATCGCATTTATCGAAAATATCGAGTACGCCGCGACTGTTTATACCAACGGCTTTACGCTACACGCGGCGACTTGCCTCGCTTCGCACGCGGGAGGACCAACTCGCACATACACGGTCGACCTATCGCTCCACGACTTGACGATCGAGTCAGTGTTACTCTTGATTTCCGCGCGAGCGCCGGGCTCGGCTTACCGGGGACGATACCAGCCGCTCCACTTCATTTGTTTCCAACCATCCCCGGCGCCCTCGTCGTGTCGCGTGGTCGGACCCCTCAAAGGATCATTGGGAAATAATCCAACGTAGTGAACCTTCTCGCGACAATCAACAAGAGAACTGCTAATTTCAACGTGAAGACTTGGTCCCGTGATACATCGTGTAAAGAATCATTTGAGAAAATGTTCAGTGCTGTAAATCTATGGAGTTTTGTATTCGATCGTCGTACGTTTGTGTCGAAGGAACTTTCCAAAGAGTCCCAAAAACGCGGATTGTAATCGTTTGAATTAACACGGTGATTCCGGTTGAAAATAATCGTCATCGTTAGTTCGGACTACGCACAGGTGGATGGTGAAGAACGAACGTTATAACTGAAACGTTCGGTTTCAAGGTGAACGAGTGAAATTCTATGACGTCGTTAGTGATAAACGAATTTTCGGTGAACGAGATTCATACATAGGTTCTCGTTTCAAAAACTTTGATGTTGAATCGGAGTAAAAGTGTACGGTTCAAATCAGACCACGCGACGAGATAAACCGTTATCAGAGTATGTGTACCGCGATTTGTATCGATTCGATAAATGTAATTCTTTTGTTATTTTCACATTTCACGGAGAAAAATTGAATTAGGTATTCGCGACTTCATATTTCACCATAATTTTATCGAAGAGACATGCGTATCGTGTGCTGCGTCGAATTAATTGAGAATTTGATTCGTTGCTTGGTACCAAATGAACGATATTGAACTGGATATCAGTAATAGTTTCACATAAATTGTGTGTCGATGTGGGTTACGTTGTTGCAAGAATTGCAGAATCAAAAAGATCTTTGGAATTACGTAGACGAATAACGATAGTCGCTTTGGAACATCAATGAGCAGCGATTTTGCAGAAGGAAGTGAAAAGATCACTATAGGTGTTTATTTCTTTTTTCCGATATTGGCGCAATTTTCCAGAACGAGAAATCCATGCTCATTACGTAACAACGAGGAATTATCCTATCACGTCTAAAATCATCTGAACTCATATGCGCGACACACGCAATACGCGTAATAAATATGTCGCAGAAAATTAAGTGCAAAAACTGGAAATTCCAATTGGTAAATTTTGCGACTTAAGAGTCGATAACCGTTTTATTAGAAGGATTAAAAAGAACGAGCGTAACTGGTTTTGCAAGGAGATTCATGGAATTTCTCAGCGTGGATCAAAATTAAACCGAACGAGCTTTGAATCGATCTGTGACAACGCCGGATCGATGACAAACATTCGATCTGTAATCTCTTCGGAGCTCCGGTCTGATCATCCCCTCGCGCTATATCCCGAATGAATCGTCGTCGTGTTGGACGTATAAAATAATCGTTATTATCAGCTCGAGCTCGACAGCGACGAGATAACGCGCTGCCTGAGAAGCCGACCGGCTTCTCTCTGTCTCGCACGCACGGAGATCAAATTGCGATCGATCTCGAGAAACGAAAATTACAGGAGATCCGAAAGGAATATATACCTTCTTATCGGGAATTCTACTACCGCTGGGGGGCAGGTTTTGAGGCGTACCAGGATCGGAAGGAAGTAACGTATAGTCCTCGTCGTTAGCATCTTCGGAACGTCATATATCTTGGCAGTAATGCGCACAAATTATGCGTCTCGCGCCTCCACGGAGCCGAGTAACCAACGGTCGCGCATTTGCACTTACGGATAATTCACCAATTCCTTCGCCTTCCTTTCTTCCTCTCCCTATTCTTTCTGTACTTTCTTGCGCCGTGTGTTTCTCCTTCTCTTCTACCCCTTCCCCTATACCTTTCGTCGTTGTGGACACGATTATCCGTCCGTTTGTCCGGACAGTCGCTTTCGGGCGCCGTTTATTCGTGAAATTCGTTCGGCCCGCCTCATCACGAACGTCTCTCCGTGACGGTGGCACGATATCAGCCATTTCTTGAAGAAACGTGTTCCCGTGCTACCGCGAATCGTCCTGCAAGGTGCACGCGCGTGTGACCGGTGTTTCTAACAGGCGTTGTAGTTGTTCCGGGAAGCCTGTTTGATCGTCGTTATTCGGTAAGCTCGCGCACGCCCTAACAACCGCCAAAGAGACTGGAAAGTGGATTAACAACTTTTGTGTATGGACAACGGGAATGTTCACCGCATAAATAAATGGACAACATTGGTATGTGCAAACATTCCTAGCTGTGAATACCGCATGTCTAATACACACGCAGAAAAGGACAATTGAAATCTTCGAAGAAAGTGAAAACGTGCGAATAACTTTTCGAAGATAGATTTCAATGAGATTTTGTGTTCCAGACAGACATAGTGTTACCTATCCTTGAATATTACTTTCGGATAATCTTCCTACCGGTTATCGGAGGAATTCTTCAGACAGTGTCGCACAGCTGTCAGTGAAAATAGGAAACATAGAATACCGTTACGCGGTATTTTACCGAAGGGTCCGTTTACCTAGATCTCGAAAGTGAACAGGCACGTGTTCGAGAGTGCAATTACTTCAGATTTTCAAAGATAACTGTGAACGTTGATCGACCCTGAAAGCTCTTGAAAGTATTAGCGGAACAACATACGTCCAAACCTATATCAGTATCAAAAGGTTCACGTGTTAATTATTTTTTTACATTCTGTCGTGTTTTCTTCGATAACGTTCGAGTTAGAAGGAGAATAAAATATAAATAAAACGTGGATCGGTAGTGAAATTTCTCAGTGTAGAATTTCTTGAGAGAAGAGTTTGATTTAACACGGAAGATTTTCATCCATAAGCAACTGTGTGAAGGATAACGTTTGTGCTCTTTGGCGACGATTAATCCACGAATGGTACCTACAGAATTTCCTGCGATACTCGTTCTGGTAAGTACTTGGTACAATAATAGATTTTTCACACACAGAACATGTTGGAGACCGCCGGTGTCGTGGGATAATTGATGCTTTGAACTTAATTATAAAAATAGGTCAACGTTTACAGTCCGGCGTTTAATTATGTAATAGATACAATATATATAGAAGGTATTACCTAATTTTCCTCTAGTTTTCGTTACTATCATTCGAGTTTTGTTCAATTGTAACAATATGGAATTTCTAATAGTTCTATTTAATTTGGAAAACATACGGTTCTCAAGACATTTGAAAACTTTAATTAGCATTTTCATACTGGAATGTAAATTATTGTCCGAACCGATTGAGCTAATTTATCACCATAGTGAATTGTCGAAGTGAGAGATCTATTATTTAAACATTGAAGTATTTTGATTGTAAAAAATGTATGGCAAAAGAAGAGTAGGTGCTCTTGATTTCTGTAATGATTACTGAATGGAAGAAATTTAGATATGCGTTTTTATCATTTCGTAAAAATTTTGAATAGCTCCCTCGAAGTAATCTGTATTTTCAACGATCATTTATCAAAATATTCATTCACGTATATGAACGTGATACGTTTTGTTGATTAACGCCAATACTCCACATACGATGTCGCCGTATTACAAAATTATCATGAATTAACATACGCGATAAGAATGACGTTAGCAGTCTATAAGCGCTTCAAACGTATCCGAAGTATTCAGTCAGTTATTATTGCGAAATCGTGGTGGACGCGTGGTACGCACGAGACACGTCGATACGCTTTGATGTAATTGTATGCCGTCAAACTTAAAATTCCACTGTCGGGACACATGGCTTTACTGTTTCATAAATACAATTCGCTGACATTTTTTAAACGATACCCAGAACCAAAACCATTTCTAAGATAACATTTTACCAGTTGCAAAACGGCCCTGCATTGCTCGGGATTATATGTCCACTTAGCCTATCGTCGCACGGATCTATCCATATTTTATCTCGTTGTTAAGTGAAATTCAGTTAAGAAGGAGAAATAATTCTTATTTGAAGTTGAATATAAAGTTACTTGTTAGCAGCAACAGAACTCTAAGATTCGAATGCAATGTATTCTGCAATATTATTACGTGACAACTTTTCTGCTACCACAAAATTACCCAGGCGTATGGCCACATAAATACGTAGTCACTATATTTCTACATACTTAGATTCTGCAACAAATGTCTATCAAAATTCCATTCTTTCGTTCGCCTCAATAATTCTTAACACGGTGAAAGGGAGCAAAATGTTTAAACCAAGGAAAGAAATAGGGTGCACGTGCGAGCACATCGTGTAGGGTTTTATACGATAATGATAGTTCGTTAATATTGACAGAAAAAACAATAAATTCGCGTGCGTACGATGGAAAGGCACGGAGTAGGGGATCATAAATGAAAGATAGAGGAAACGGGCGCATGAAACGCGAGAGTGTAAATCGTAGTCTTACCGTTTCACCGAGACACGCCCCGTTAACTCAAGGGTTAAACGTTAAACCCCGCCTATTTTTGAGCTGAGCAGCCAGATTTTATTCTCCTCTTTTGTCAGGCCGCCGTGTACATCTCTTTCTGCCTCTTTTTCTCACGTCGGAGGAAAAGAAATAAGGGAACCTGCATCTCGACCTCTCTCGATTTCCGATCGGGTTAAGCAAACAGCGACTGGTTCTCACCTTATCGTGATAATAGCTATAATTTCGGCGGTCCTCCCGACCACGTAGACGCATCACGGGTACGTGCAAGTCTTTAGATTGCAGACGCGACGTTACTTGATTGCATGGCAAGGCTTCTTCGCGCGATCACGATTTATTACCTGTCCCATTCCTACAGCTCCACGATCGACACATGCATTCGTTCCCCCGACTCCACGTGCACGCTGTTCCTTAAATTTTGTTTGTAATCAGGAAGAGGCAATTTTTCGTCCGTGTACCTCCTCTCGGTGTTTATTTGCACATATTGTTATTTTACCTGGACACATTGGGCCGTCTGAAAAATGATCGAATGATTTTAAGACGATATGTGTTATTAACGTAGGAAAATCAACTCTTGCAGAGCAACCGAAATTTATTATTTCACTTGATTAAGCTTTCTGCGCTACGTATATTTACGTGGTGATCGCATAAGAATTACTTATGGATTTTTAATTAGTCTTCTTGATGAAAATGAGAAAGAAAAATTGTTTTCTTTTATGTTTTTCGAATTCCTGTTGTCAGTCATCATAAATTCACTAGATTGAATTCGTTGACATTATTCTGAAGCTATGTACTATTTTATTGATGGTTTTATAGAGAGAGAGGGTCTGTTACCTCAGCGAGAATCTTGGTGTGTGCAGCCCGTACGAGCGAATCCACGTTGATCGACATGTTTTAGTCGTTTTGTTCGTTCGGTATTTACCTTCGCGGTGCTTACGAAAGACAAGCGTGTACGCGATACATAGTATCCGGGGGCTGAATGAAGTGCACATCCGACAAGCGCGCGTCTAGACGTCGGAGTTCGGTGAGCAATGCTAATGTGGAAAACACGATAATCGTCAGCTTCGTAGAAAAAAGAACGAGTGTTTTTGTCATCGAAGAGGTTTTAAAACCATGAAAATGGCGTAAAACCAGGTTTTAGTTTAGTTTAGACTTTCTAATTGGAAGTGCAGTTCAATATCGAATTGTTTAAAATGCAGAACATTTCTTAGTATAATATTATACGTTCTATACTGTACATTATACGTTCTGTATAATCGTGAAGAAATCAACCGAATCTCTTAGAGCCTTGAGCACCCGTTAAGAGAAGCGTTGCGCAAAGCGCTTCACGGTTTTAATGCATATGTATATAAACGATTATTTCTCCTTTACGTGGTGCGTCTCTACAAATTTGCTATTTAAATGGAAAACCGAATCGAGTTTGACGATTAGCACGCGCATCATTCGTCGTTCGCGGGGCACTAAACGTCCGTTTCGCGTATTTGCTCAACGATCGTTCCTTTAACGGTGAGTTATCCACTTGTTCTTCTAACTAGTTCCGGTTACGAACTAGTCCGTCCCTATACGCTACATAAGTAGCGCGGGAAACATCACTACACGTTTATTTTTTCAATAGTGGAATTGTAAATTGTAACAATTTATTACAATTATTTTTTTTACGCATAATCTCCTAATTTTATTAAAAAATAATTTGCAAACTGCATATATTTACATTTAACATTGTACAAATCACAGTTCGTACAGTCCATTTTTAAAAAAAGAAATCCATGAAATGATGTGAGTGCTGCGAACCAAAGATACTTATGTACGTAGTCTATACCTCGGGCAGCGGGGTTTTCTTATTTTTAAAAGTTCAAAGTAACGAGTGACCGTAGGAAACCGGGAACGACCTGTAGTTCTATGACTTCCAAAGCTCGTACAGTTTACTTTAATGATCGTTTGAAGTGGCGCTCATCGCCGCAAGACCAGACGCTTCTACAGTATATACTGATCATTCCGCGTTGATGTTTTACAAAGATCTGAAAGAGAACATAGCTATGATTATCTAAGAGTAAAAGTTAAAATACTGTTTTAATCGATTTTATATAAAGATAATTGGATTTAAAAAAATTTTAATATAGCAGTACTTGGTACTTGAAACAATACCATGTATCGTTCATTAAACTTCCACGTTTTTCCACATCTATTGATCAGTGCTGTACTCGATAAATTATACCTTGCATAATATTCGATCCATAAGAGATATGATCGACCGATATCATGGAGGAAGTGGTTTATAATGAAAAATCGTTTAATCGAGACGTCACGGGGGAATGGTTCTGGACAAATGTATGCTTATGTAGTAGAATTAGTCATGCACAGTTTCGGTGAGGTTGAACGAACGGCGGGGGACCCGACCCGATCGAAATTGGCTCTCGACGCGGCGCAAGGAAATCAGCGTTTACCGCGTTCACAGTCACTTCCGTCTGTGTTACCACTCGGGGGCGGATCTAGGGAAGGCACCCTCCGGACCATGTCCATCTAATTTCGAAGCGATCTAAGCGCGCCGGTTGCGGTTGTTTAAACCCACGACCTGGCGTCGTATCTGGTCTGGTAACTACGTACACGATACGGTAGTAAGAGAGCGTCGAGAGGGGTGGGGGTAACTGTGAATGAAGTTAACCATACGCACCTCTGAATGGGAGCCGAAGACGCAGTCGGTGGATCTCTCGCTGTGTGTATTTCCGTTCGTGTTTATATACGGGAATGCTCCACGACATCAATCCGGGACATTTGAAACGTAGCAGAAGCTTACAATTAGATTATGTTGTCAGGGACGCCTCCTTTCCGCGAGGGTGCGACAGGAAAGAAACAGGAGTAAATGGGAAATCTGACTGTCGCTGTTAGTGTAATTCCTGTTTTGGAATAGGTCTTCCTGTTTCCACGGTCTCTATACGGAACGATTGCTTTAAAGTTTCGTTTAGAAACATTGTTTAAAAAAGAGCTTCATTAAACTTCATTTACTTGTTGTTCGATAAATAGATACTTGTACGCGTAACTGTCCTAATTGGCCTAACATATATTGTATAACGTATTCCACGAATGATGTCTACATTGGCTCAGAATTCACTGCGTTAGGCGTATAGAATAAATAATTTTTTGTTCATGGAGTCTAGGGAAACAAGAAACATGATTTTTTTAATAAATTAAGAAAACAATGTATTTTATTTTGTTACTTTCAGTTTACATTTAGCAAAATATTTGATTCTAACAATAAGACGTGAAGCACGAGAGCATTGAGCTTAATTGAAATTTTCACATGAGATAATACACAACATTGTTATGTGAATAGAAAGGTCCCAGGTACTTCTGTATTGTTCGCTCGTTAAAACTTACATACGTATACACCATACGCTTCAAAGAACCAATAGAAAGATCACCTTATCTGCGAAACGTTCGATAAAGAGTTGGCCGATAATGTTTCTCGGTATTCTCCTGTTTCCAGTGCGAGGTAAAAGGTTTGCGCTATCACGAG